ATGGCGTAGATCTACGGTTTGGACACTCACCGTAAAGCCGTAGATCTACGGGACGGACCCTGAAAGGGTTAAGGTAAGAAATGCTATTATTTCTAGTGCATTTTAGTCTTAAGCAGTAATATATCATGACAATGCACTACAATTACATATTTACTTTTATTTTGTAAGATCTGGAGTCTAAAAGAGTTGTTTGGCTTTTTGGGAGGCTCCTAGGAACGTAACCCTATTTTTTCCATAAGTTTTTCAGTTTGTCTCACATGGTTTTCCCTAACATGGCATTTTCAGGAACGTAACTACCGTGTTAACCCTTTCATGGTTGGTGCCGTACTAGTACGGCTTGTACACCAGGGCTGGTGCCGTACTAGTACGCATAAATTCTAGCGCCTTCAAATCTAGCGAGAGAAAGCTGGTAGGCCTACATATGAAAGAATGGGTCTATGTGGTCAGTGTGCACAATATGAAAAAAATCCTGCAGCACACAGTGCATAATGATAAAAAAAACTAACTGTGTTTTTGCTTTAAAACAGCGACTTTGCAGTGTATTTTTGCATGCTATTTATGGTTGTTTTCTAGTTTTCCTGGTCTCATTTTATAGAATGAAAGACATATTACAGAAATTGAGATGATTTTGATTGGTTTCACAATGAAGAGTACCTTGGAATTGAGCTCAAAATAGCAGAAATGTTTGATTTTTGCCAATGTTCAAAAGTAAACAAATCATACCACGCATCCAATACACATCAACTGGTGAGTCTAATATTCTTTCACAAGTGCGCTGATATTATTTATACCATTTCAACACTAATGCAGTAGTCTGCATAACAGTAAATCTTCTATTTTTTTGTGAGAATAAAAATTCAAAGTAGACAGCAAAAGAAATGTAAGAGAGGCCAGGGAACATGACTAATAAACAGAAAAAAAATGCTATTTTAGTGCCAGGAATGTCTGTCTTGTTTATTCTGGATCCTATTTGGAAATTGGCATCTTTTGAAATTTGTGTGAAACTGGCAAAATTGCCAATTTCTGACCACTTTATTGGATAGTTGAAATCGGTAAATGGGTGGTTTCTTGTACTCATTTGATAGAAAAAATGGAGTTCTAGCAAAATAGTTATGATTTTTGTGAACTGGTACATTGGAATTGGCTGAAAATAGGGCTCAAAGTGGACGAAATCGTCGATGCTTAAACATTGTAGAGACCACTAACTTTGCAAGAACATAATTCTGTAAGTTTTCCATCAAATTTCATACATTTGGTGTCATTATGATCGGGAAAAGATTCTCTATCATTTCATAAAAATAATTTTTTTTTTCGAAAAATTTTCGACCCTGAGAACAAGTTTACGAGAGGGCCTGTTGACCCTGAAAGGGTTAAATGACGGTCTACTGTATTCACCACTAACTATAAGGGCAAAAATATTTTAAGGTAAGTATTGTGTGTACTGCATATGCATTTTTTTTAGATCTATCTCTATTGCTCACTTAATATATGATAGGCTTTTAAATGCATTAAAAAAAAAAATCCAAAGGTTGCATTTCAGTTTACAGCGGCAGCGCAGAACCTAACCTACTGTGTAAGTGGGGCCCTCCTGTAAATAGCTCAATAAACCCATGGCAGAGCAGAAACATATGTTAATTCAACCTGCTATCACTCAACAATGGAACCCACAACAATGGTACTTATTCCTTTTTGGTGTGCAATGTCTCATGTGCAATGCCTCAATGACTCATTCATTTGGAATACCACCCTTTATCCAGATTTATGATCACAGTTATGTGTAAACAATCTATATTTTAAAAATAAGACTGTATTTAAAAAATAAACAATCATTAACTGTTAAAAATGCACCATTAGCCTGCAAAAATAAGTGATACACTACCATACTGTACATTTCTCTAATGGAAGTGAGCTTATTCTGTTTGCCAAGAAACACAGTTCTGTATGTGGATCACTTAGCTGTCAACTTTGCTGCCATAAATGGCAATACAATTGTACAACCTTCCTTACAAGATATTTCCTTCGTAAAGCTTGGCTAAAAATTTCTACAAGTGACAACCACTAGCAAGTAGCAAGAGTGATCCTCACACAGTGGTTTGTTATGTAGCAGCAGCAAATACTGAAAGAACTCTACTTGACAACTATCCTGTCAGCTTTCTTCTATTTGCTTACAACCATACATTTGAGAAAATATAAAGATGACTGCAAAAGAGAGGAAGGGGGAGAGTGCAAGGGAAGGGAGGGTGAAAGAGAATGAGAGGGAGGAGGTAGTGCACAACAGAGCAGGAAACAGCAAAATAGAGAGAGAAAAAAAAGCAAGAACCTGAGAGATACACATGTATACAGTGGACCCCCGCATAATGATCACCTCCGAATGCGACCAATTATGTAAGTGTATTTATGTAAGTGCGTTTGCACGTGTATGTTTGGGGGTCTGAAATGGACTAATCTACTTCACAATATTCCTTATGGGAGGGAACAAATTCGGTCAGTACTGGCACCTGAACATACTTCTGGAGTGAAAAAATATCCGTTAACGGGGTGTACAGACAATATAAAATATAAATATTGTTTATATTATATATTATAATAATTTTAAATATATATAAATATATATAATAGAGGAGAGAGGAGAGAGAGAGAAGGAGATGAAGAGAGAGAGAGGTAGACAAACTAGAGATAAGAATAGAGATAGAATATAGAATGAGAGAATGATATGAGATAGATATGAATGAATATGAGATAGAAGAGATGAGAGAAGAGAGAGGAAGATAGAAGAGATACGAGAGATAGAGGGATAAGAGATGGAAGAGATAGAGAGAGAAATAGAGGAATAGAAGGAGAGTAGAGAGAGAGATAGAGAGAGAGAGATAAGAAGAGAGATAGAGAAATAGAGAGATAAGAGAGAGAGAGATAGAGTAGATAAAAGAGTAGAGAAGTAGAGAGATAGAGAGAGAGAGATAGAGAGAGAGAGATAGAGAGAGATAGAGAGAGAGAGATAGAGAGAGAGAGAGAGAGAGAGAGAGAAGAGAGAGAGATAGAGAGAGAGAGAGAGAGATAGAGAGAGATAGAGAGAGAGATAGAGAGAGATAGAGAGAGATAGAGAGAATAGAGAGATAGAGAGAGAGTAGAAGAGAGAGATAGAGAGAGATAAAGAGATAGAGAGAGAGATAGAGAGAGATAGAGAAGAGATAAGAGAGAGAGGATAGAGAGAGAGAGATAGAGAGAGATAGAGAGATAGAGAGATAGAGAGATAGAGAGAGATAGAGAGAGAGAGAGAGAGAGAGAGAGAGAGAGAGAGAGGAGAGAGATAGAGAGAGATAGAGAGGATAGAGAGAGATAGAAGAGAGAGATAGAGAGAGATAAGAGAGAGATAGAGAGAGAGAGATAGAGAGAGAGAGAGAGAGAGATAGAGAGAGAGAAGAGAGAGAGAGAGAGAGATAGAGAAGAGAGAGAGAGAGAGAGAGAGATAGAGATAGAGAGAGAGATAGAGAGAGATAGGAGAGAGAGAGATGAGAAGAGAGAGAGAGATGAGAGATAGAGAGAGAGAGAGATAGAGAGAGAGAGAGAATAGAGAGATAGAGAAGAGAGAGATAGAAAGAGAGATAGAGAGAGAGATAGAGAGAGATAGAGGAGATAGAGAGATAGAGAGAGATAGAGAGATAGAGAGAGAGAGATAGGATAGAGAGAGAGAGAGATAGAGAGAGAGAGATAGAGAGAGAGAGATAGAGAGAGAGAGATAGAGAGATAGAGAGATAGAGAGATAGAGAGATAGAGAAGATAGAGAGAGAGAGAGAGAGAGAGAGAGAGAGAGAGAGAGAGAGAGAGAGAGAGAGATGAGAGAGAGAGGAGAGAGAGAGAGAGAGAGATAGAGAGAGAGAGAGAGAGAGAGAGAGATAGATAGAGAAAGATAGATAGAGATAGACAGAGAGAGAGAGATAGAGATAGATAGATAGAGAGAAATAGATAGAGATAGATAGAGATAGATAGAGAGAGATAGATAGAGAGAGATAGATAGATAGAGATAGATAGAGAGATAGATAGAGAGAGATAAGATAGAGAGAGATAGATAGAGAGAGAGAGATGCATTCTGCTGCCCAATATTTCATAGAAACAATCTAAAATGCATAAAAAAATCCACTAAATGTGAATAATTATCCATAAAATGCATTGTTTTTGGTGGGTGCAAAGACGTGCATAATTAATGGTATCCTTAATACCAGTGAGTATCTAAGATCAAGTTTGGTCTCACTAGTATGAGAGATAATACAAATTAATGAAAGATGACTGTCTTACATGCTAGTGGAGCAAGAGAGTACAGTCTGTGTGAGGACAAACAAGTAGTATTCAAAGATCAAGTTTGTCAAAATTAAGTTCTTCATACAGCAGTTAACTATAAAGCTCTGAATTCTTGCTATTTTTTTTAACACACTGGCAGTCTCCCACTGAGGCAAGGTGACCCAAAAAGAAACATTTTCACAATCATTGTCTTGCAAGAGGCATGCAGATGTCCCTCCAAAAGGCGAATATCTCCACCCTTCCTTCAGAGTGCAGGCAGTGTACTTCTTACCTTAAGTCTGGGTAATCTTGCAAATTATCTAAATTTATACTTATTTTCAAAATTATATACACATGTGATGATTAGCTGTTTTGAGAAGTTATAGCACTATGTTGAATTTTGGAGAAGGGTTCATTTATGTAAAAAGGGTTTGAAGGTCCAGACATACCCTTGATTAAAGTGAAAAACAAATGTAGTTCATGGTTAACAAATATGCTGCAAGCCCAAGAATATAACCCTTTACACTAAGCATTGTTGACTATTAAAAAAATATAGATAACTTCTACAAGAATTTAAGACTACTTAGAAGCTTTTAAAAAATCTACAAACACAAAAAGAAAAAGCAGAGAATAACAGCAAGATTTTTTAAAGCATTGAATGATTTAAAATGTAGAAGATTTATTAAGAGGTGTAAGTGTGAATACAACATTCTTGATAAGCCCACCTTGTCACTTTGGGAGACGACTGCATCTACGACCAAAGGTCGGGACGAGAAAGGTTCGGCAGGAATGAAATCAACCAAGGACGGTAATGAGCACAAAGAAGCAGAACAAGAGTCAATAGGAGAATGAATACCTTGTGTATCTAAATATTCACACTTTACCTTGAATGGAACACTCTGTGTACATGTATTTAAATGATTATAGTGCAACGACTGAGACCTTGGCTGGCTTAATAATGAAGACAGAAAAGGTGCTTTTTGTAACCTCTTACTGCCCTGCAAGGGCTTTTCATATTCTTTGGGTTTATATTTACAGAATGCAGAAGAAGATTTAGATACATAAGGATAAGGTGAAGCAGTAACATTAAAAGTGTTTATCCAAGTTTCCATCTCAAAGGAAGATGTGCGAGAGGAAAGTTTCAGAGGAGGAACACAGTGAGGTCTTCTCTGTTTGAGATTTGGGCAGTAGTTTGCTTCCTTAGTGATGAACTCTTGTATCACTTCACAGATGCAGGCTGCCTGTTTCATCAACACAAGGAACAATGTGTTATCACATGCATGAAGTACAGAGTCATGATTTACAAGCATCTAATGCATCTACATCAATCCACTGTTGTATAATGCCGTATACACTTGAGTATAACCCAGTGCCACGTATAGGCCGACACCTGATGTCTTGCCAAAAAACCATTAATTTTTCGTATATCACAAGAGATTTTTAAAAGGATCGAATGGTTTTGACACAGAAAAATACTCACTCAAAACGTAAAACAAATAGTACTGTACTGTATTGAAAACATAAAAAGAGTATTGAAAACTTGAAAATATTTGTGACAAAAACAAGAAAAAGAACCCAAACACTTGATAAACATAAGAATAGAGGAGGGATGAGTTCTTCATTATTATTATTATAATAATAACAGTAAGTAGAAGAATAAAGGAGCACTGCAACAGGCCTACTTGCTCAAGCAAGGTAAGTCATGCTCACACCCAAATGTTACAAAGGAATCGTCAACATGACTCAAGAAATCGTAATGACATGATTGCAAACAAACCATACCCCGGCCGGGATTGAACCCGTGGTCATAGAGTCTCAAAACTCCAGCCTGTGGCTAGCTGGTCTAGTGGCTAACGCGACGGGCTGGAGTTTTGAGACTCTATGACCGCGGGTTCAATCCCGGCCGGGGGTATGGTTACAAAGGAGCACAAGGGTGGGTTGCCAGGGACCTTGGGAAGGAGTTCTCACCCCCAGGCTGGTGGTGGTGGTGAAGGATGGGGAAGTCAAGGAGGGCTAGGTGACACCCTCTTTCTCCTTCTCTTCTCCTTCACCACCTATATTCTCTGCCTACAAATTTGGTATAAACTCAATCTATACTCAAGTATATATCATAACTTAAATATGGCTACTTTTTAGTACAGACCATTTACTAAAATACTGTATTATCAGAATAAGGAATAACACCAAAATAAGATTTATTTACCTGTTAACCTGGAGCATTATTAACCCATTAGTTAGTTATAGTTTAATATCTTTATTATGCACACTATACCCATGGTGTGGGAGGTAGTCACACCATATCCATGGTGTGGGAGGTAGTCGCACCATACCCATGGTGTGGGAGGTAGTCGCACCATACCCATGGTGTGGGAGGTAGTCGCACCATACCCATGGTGTGGGAGGTAGTTGCACCATACCCATGGTGTGGGAGGTAGTCGCACCATACCCATGGTGTGGGAGGTAGTCACATCATAACCATTGAGTGGGAGGTAGTCATACCATAACCATTGAGTGGGAGGTAGTCATACCATAACCATTGAGTGGGAGGTAGTCATACCATAACCATTGAGTGGGAGGTAGTCATACCATAACCACTGTGTGGGAGGTAGTCACACCATATTATTATTATTATAATAAAAAAAAGCGCTAAGCCACAAGGGCTATACAGCGCTGCAGGGTAGGGAAGGAAGCGAGGGTATCAGGCAGCAGAAGGGAGGAGGGATGATTAGTAGGTTACAGAAAACAGTGGGGCAGGGGATAGTGCAGGGGTAGAGGGTAGAAAGAGATTGAGGTAGAAAGGGCTGAAGGTATCATCAGAGTTTGTGGAGTAAGTCAGTTGTTGTCAAAAAGTCAATGAGAGAGTCCGGATGAAAGGTGGGTCCACCAGCGAGAAGGGAAGGTAGAGAGAGAGCAGCAGAGTGAAGACGATGTTGGAGGTAAATTCTGCGTGCTCGTTGATAAAGTGGACAGTCTAACAGAATGTGGCTGACCGATAATGGAACCTGACAATTCTCACAGAGAGGAGCAGGGCGCCTCTCCATGAAATATCCATGAGTAAGACGAGTATGGCCAATGCGAAGGCGGGAGAGAGTAGTCTCCCAACCTCGACACTGGTGACAAGAAGACGGCCAGTAACCTATACTCGGTTTAATAGAACAAAGTTTGTTATTGAGCAGAGCAGACCAACGTTGTTGCCAATGGGTGTGAAGGTAGGTAGCTATTACAGCAAAATAGTCCGGAAATGGAACACCTCTATATGAAACTGGTAGGTCATGTACTGCTGACCGCGCAGCAGTGTCTGCCTGTTCATTGCCCTGTACGTCAACATGACCAGGGACCCAACAAAAAACAATATCTTTATGCTTGGTAGAGATACGGCGTAGCCAAAGTTGGATACGGAGAACTAGAGGGTGATGTGTATCAAATTTCCGTATAGCCTGTAGAGCACTAAGGGAGTCAGAGACAACCACAAATGATGACACAGGCATAGATGCGATACAAATAAGTGCTGCAAGAATGGCATACAATTCAGCAGTACAAAATGCTAGCCGAAGATAGTAAATGCCCTCGCACGACGCTGTCCGGAAACACTGCTGCGAATCCGATGCCATAAGAAGATTTAGAGCCATCTGTGTACATGGCGATGGCATGAGAATGAGAGTGGAAGTGGTCAAGAAAAAGAGAGCGGGAAGCCACTGTAGGCCGTAGGGCTTTCGAGAAAGGGAGTGAGAACGAACAGACTCGAACAGCTGGAACTTCCCAGAGGGGGTAGGGAAAAGTGAGATGCTACATGAACATATAAAGGCGGTAACTGAAGGGAAGACAAGAGCAAATGTAGGCGAAGAGAGAAGGGACGGAGCAAACAGGGGTGGTGAACAAATAAAGAATGTCTACTAATATCAGTGACCATTCTATAAATGGAAGGTTTGCGGAGATCGTGAGAGCGCACATAGTAGCGAAGGCAATGGGCATCACGGCGATCAGACAAGGATGGAACATTCGCTTCTGCATAGAGGCTCTCAACAGGGGAAGAGCAAAAAGCACCAAGCATAAACGTAATCCTTGGTGATGGATGGGGTTAAGGCTAGAGAGAGTAGCAGGAGAGGCCGCTGAATAGATCTGGTCACCATAATCGAGGTTTGATATAATGAGGGCTGAATGTAGGCGAAGGAGAGTTCGACGATCAGCTCCCCATGAAAGATGAGCAAGGGTTTTAAGAAGGTTCAGCTGGCTGTGACAAGTTGCCTTTAGAGAGGTAATGTGGGGTTTCCAGGATAACCTACGGTCAAAGAGAAGGCCTAGAAACCTGACTGTATCACGTTCAGGGATATGGGAGCTATAGAGGTACAAAGGATGATCGGAGATGACAGAGTGTCTAGTGAAAGTAATTTGGCGAGTTTTGGTACTGGAAAATTTAAACCCATGCGTGGTGGCCCAATTGGAAACACGGTTGACCGTATGCTGGAGAGAAACTGTAATGAGGTGACAGTCAGCGCATGCACAAGCAATAGCGAAGTCATCTACATAGAGTGATGACCAAATATTGGATGGAAGAACAGAGGCCAAATCATTTATAGCAAGAAGAAAAAGTGTTGTGCTCAGAACACATCCCTGAGGGACACCTTCAGCTTGGACAAAGTCCAGGGAGAGCACATTATTGACTCGAACACGGAAATGTCTGTCAGTTAAAAAGTTCTTAAGGAAAGATGGTAGATTGCCTCGGAGGCCTAAGGAGTGGGCTTGGGCCAAAATATTATACCTCCAAGTTGTGTCATATGCCTTCTCAAGGTCAAAAAATATGGCAATAACTGAGTAGTTATTCGCAAAGGCATTGCGAACATACGTATCCAAACGTAGTAAGGGGTCTATGGCAGAACGGCCCTTACGAAAGCCATATTGACGAGTGGAGAGACTGCTGTGTGTCTCTAAATACCACATTAAATGTCTATTTACCAGACATTCCATCACTTTGCAAACTGCGCTGGTAAGAGTGATGGGACGATAGTGGGAGGCTTCATGTCCCGTAGTACCCGGTTTGTGGAAAGGGAGAACAATGGCAGATTTCCACAGCTGTGGAAGAACTCCTTGTGGCCAAATAAGATTGAAAAGGCGTAAGAGGACTGCAAGGGCTGACTGATGTAAATGTTGTAACATACGAATATGAATGTTGTCAGGCCCAGCTGTCGATGATCAGCAAGCTGATCATTGTCTCCAAGTCCTGAAGTGTAAAAGGCACACTATACTGTTCTTCTCTGAGAGAAGAAAAGTCCAAGGGTGCTAACTCTCTGGAAGACTTTGAGGAAAGAAACGAGGGGCAGAGATGGAGCCCCAGAGAAATACAGACCAGATGATTGCCAATTTCAATGGCAACATCTAGAGGGTTTGCTATATCAACACCGGCAACCCACAGAACAGGAGCCGGGTCAGGAGAATATTTACCACTCAGTTTCCGTACTTTTTTCCAGATTGCACTCATAGAGGAAGCTGAGGTGATGGTGGAGACATAATCTCGCCAGCAAGTGTGTTTAGCGTCACGGATGACACGGCAGGCGATTGCACGCTTCTGCTTAAAATCAAGAAGTCCCTCAGTGGTTCTATTATACCAGTACCTGCCCCATGCAGCACGTTTCAAACGTACTGCACGAGCACAAGCAGGAGACCACCAAGGCACGCATTTCTGAGAATGCCTGCCCAAGGTTTGGAGTATAGAATGGGAAGTTGTGGCTAAAATTGAGGGCGAGAAGAGGTGTAAAAGCTCATCAATAGAGGACAAAGAAGGAACCTCACGAAAAACAGTTAGTTGTGAGTAAAGGTCCCAATTTGCCTGATCAAACTGCCAGCGTGGGTTACGAAGAGGTGGTGAATATGAAGGGGAAGTAAGAATGATTGGAAAATGATCGCTGTCATGTAAATCTGGGAGAACAGACCAGGTGAAGTCTAGTGCAGCGGAGGAAGAGCAGACTGAGAGATCGATGCAAGAGAAGAGTATGAGTACGAGGATCAAAATGGATGTGAGTACCTGTATTTAAAACATGGAGGGGGTGGGAAGCAAGAAAAGCCTCTAGCTGAATGCCACGGGAATCACAGTGAGACCCCCCAGAGAAAATGATGGGCATTAAAATCGCCAAGCAACAGAAGTGGTGGCGGTATTGACGAAACATGAAAGGCAATATTCGGAATAGATAATGCTCGAGAAGGAGAGAGGTACAAAGAACAGGGTGTATACCACCTATGCAGGTGA